TCTCTTCTCTTCTCTTCTCTTCTCTTCTCTTCTCTTCTCTTCTCTTCTCTTCTCTTCTCTCTCTTCTCTCTCTCTCTCTCTCTCTCTCTCTCTCTCTCTCTCCCTTTCTCTGCCTCTACTACCCTCTCAACTCCCCTCCCCATGCCCTGAATAAATTCTATTCTTCTATTCTATACTATACCGTCATGTGGCTGGTCCCTCAGGGCGAAGGGATGCCTTGGCATGGGCCCACTGAGACCCCTCCTTCCCACATACCTGGCTACACCCTCATAGAACATATTACTTTTCTGTTTTTCTTTTTATAAACACATCACCTATGCAAGCTTCAGATTTCAAAAAGGAACTTCCATTAAGTTCTCTTTGGGCTAATGGCAGCTGCATTGCTGAGCTTTCAAACTACAACCTTCTCTGACAGCCACAAATGGTGGACCACCATCGACACCAACAGTCACCAAGCATTGTCCTTCCTAAAACCCAAGTTTGCCATTGCTGTGTGTGTCATTTGAGAGAAGCAGCACCTCCTTGCGCTACTGAAGCACTTTGTAACCTAGTCTTCATAATTGCCTGCATTTAATAAATGTGTAGTATCGAGAAGCTAATCAGTAGGGAAATGCTGTAGACAGGAGTAGCATTAAAAAGGAAACTATGATCATTAATGAGGTTGTCCCAAGGTCTGAGTTATAGCTCAGTTAAAGAAAACAGTTATCACTCTAGGCAGTTGTTAGAATTATTTTAAAATTAAGATGGAAGAAAATGATTATGAAATAAAGTAAAGGCCTGTTAATAAACGATTACTACTAGGAAAATAGTCAAATTAATAAAGTCAGATTAAGTTCCTGCCAAACACACCCTATCATCACTAACATGTGGGAAGGTCAGAATACAGATGGCTACGTCATGAATATTTATAACTGGAGAACATTTTTGCTCTGTTGGGTCATAGGCCACAGTCACATATTTTGTCATCTGAGTAGGCTGCATTTGGGTTAATTGAAAATAGGGAAGTTATGTTCAGACTAAACAGCACTAAGTAAAAATTCTTAGAAACAGGCACACTCTTCTTCAAGAATTCTTTTGAAAGTGTCTATTAAATTGAGTTGTGTGTGTGTGTGTGTGTGACATATACAGCTTTTAAGAAGTTTATCATCACTTGACTGTAAAGAAAAGACACCTGTTAGGGGTAAGCATTTTCAATATTTGTGAATATTTTGGATTCCCACAGTACCCTCATTTCTAGAATTTTTAGCAAAGTGTACTGGAGGTTACTCAAGAATATACCAAAAGATTTTTTTTTTACTTAGAAAATAAATTATATATAAAAAGGACATTATTCTTTACTATGCTTTGAGTGAGAACAAATGAGGATTAAGACTAATTAATGCAAGACTGAGGTCCAAGGCTGGGAAAGGGAAGAGAGGTGCTATTTCAGTTGAGTTTGGTGCATGTAACCATCCACACAAGTGAAGCAGGCATGAGGAGTGAGGTGGCTCTCTCTGAAGTGCATGTTTAACCTACGCACTTTAACCAAGATGGTTCCAGAATGTTAAAGTTACTTGGTTGGGAACTGGAGAAGCCCTCACAAACACATCCTTTTTCAGACAGTGTCTCACTATATAGCCCTAGCCTCAAACTTTCTAAGTAGACACCACACCCAGACCTGCCTATATTTACATCTCAAGTGCTGGGAATAAAGACACCACCATATAAAACCAGTGGCATTACCCCTTCCATCTTAGCATATCCATTGATGCTGTTGATGTCTTAACTCTAGACAAAAAGAACCATGGCAACTGGCGAATGCTTAGAACAGGAGAAATAGTCTTCCCCAGGGAAGAACTCCACATGCCAGTTGTTTATGTTGGTTATCCAGTACCAAGTGATCTCTGAAATTATACACTGAGCAAGTTGTATTTGTGTATTTATGTGTGTGTGTGTGTGTAACAACTAAAGAAATAGAGGCTATGAATTTAAAGAACAAATGTAGCTGTATGGGAAGGTTGTGGGGAACAAAGAGAAGTAGGAAAATGATACAATAATAATAATAACAACAATAATAAGCCTGTTAGAAAAAACAAACAGACAAACAAACAAACAAACAAACAAAAACAAATAAAATCAACCCTAATGGCAGCCAGCCAACTCAGCTACAGCTGTGAAAAAGGTTTTGTCACTTCCCTTACCTTCAGTCACTGCCTCTGAAGAAGGGCTCCTGTGTTCTCTTTGGTTCTAATAGCCCTTGGAAGTGGTGTCACAGTAGTGTATAACCTCATCTTGCTGTTCTGCTTAGTCATATGCTGCCTCCTCCTGTATGGGGATGGACTCGGCTTCGTCTCTGTGTCTCCAGCTCATCACAGAGTACCTGGCAAAGAACTAATGTTGAAAATAGGTCATGGATATTCACAGATAGGATTTTTATCTTTAAATAAAGATCAATAAACAAACCACAACAGTAAGCAATGTGTGAGCAATCGCCTCTGCTTTGCCTGTGTGCACAGAATTCCTCTGCTACCCAGGAACTCCTAGCTCTAAGTGTCTGGGCCTACTGGGCTCCAGTGTCTACCAGTGCTGTTGTGGAAACAGCAGGAATTAACTTCGGGGTTTGGCCCAGAAATCACAGCCACTCTCATTCCCTCTTTTCTTTAGAGAGAAAACGGAGCCCAAATATCTTAGTTTACTTTATTCTTGTTTTACAAGAATGAGTGATTTATTTCTTTTCATTTCTCTACCCAGCTATTTAAACAAGCATATTTGAATGATATAAAGCATAGTGGTGGAAATGAGGTTGATCTATTTTTAGTCATGATGAAATGTGAGCGACTTTTAAAAACAGAGTTCCTTATCACAGTCAGTATTGATATCACTTATTTCAGAAGTGCCTGCCAGGATGACTGATAAAATTCTGTAAGTACTTGAACTATACCATGCTTCCTCTAACTTCACACCACAGGTTTATCTGTTCATGTACAAAAGGTTAAAACTCTTACTTATGTTGCCAAAGCCCAGAGAAGGGCAGCAAGCTACTACCTTTATTAGTAGTGGCCCAGCGGCTGCTGAGTGTGGGCACCTCTTCCATATGCAGTGTGTAGGGCGCTTGGGGGGATGAATCTGACACCATTTCAGATAGGTAAGCGAGAAAGGCATGTCAGGAGCTCATGGTGATTCTGTCTTCAGATGAGTCAAAACAGTGTTCTTTGTCTTGATTTCCCAAATAGACATGTTTCCTCAGTGATCGAAGAATAAAGAACATGGTGATCAGGACCTAACTATTCTGTAGAAAAGACAGAATGAAGAGTCATTCAGAAATATCTAGTAAGGAATATTGCCATTGTTATATCTGAATGACTCTCTTAGGCCTTGAAGCACCTATTGGTTAGCTATAGTAATCCTTTCTGGGACCAGGAAACTAAACTGGAAATTTTGTTTGAACCCTTTGGTGACAGGTATCAGATCACAGTATGAACTGTGAGATGAATATCCTGTGGGAGTTCCCAAGTAGATATCCAAAAATTAGTATGTGATTCCAACACAGTTTATCTAACCAAGGATAAATAGAGACTAGTTCCTGGAAATCTAAGAACATCTGTGAGGATGACTTCATTGGAGATCAAAGATCAGGGTGAAGTCAAAAGAAATGGACTTCAATGGGGACCATGGAGAAGATATGTGTCTCTAAATTATGAAACATAGGAATAGTATCTGGCTTCAATCTAGAAAAATATTCAGGTTGATTATCTGACATGGTCTCATTGAGTTCATGGAATGGAATAGTAGATGTCAGATTTGAACAGAAGGAACTAAGAAGATTCTTGAAACAGAGATTTGTGGTCTCCTTGTGGGTTAGTGGCAGAATGTACCTTTCTTAGGAAGTAAAATATGAGAGAAAAGCACTGACTGAAATACATCCACGGCCTGGGAACACCAGCTGTTTAGAAGTGCATTCTAAATGTATGCTTCAAACCAGGGCTGCATGCCAAAGACAGGATGGGACAGTAGGTTAACTGGACCGCTGTTATAAGCTGTGTTGAGATTCATTTGGAATATGCTAGAATTATGGCACTATTTACTTCTGTTTTGTATATAAGCTTTTACATAATTTATGAGGTTTTGTTCTCTTACCTGGTGAAGAAAGCACTGCCTTCAACTTGAAATTAATAAGCAATCACAGTACGCAACCAAGTGATCAGTTATTGGGAAAAACTCATGGGCAGTTACATGTCATTGAATGTTGAAGAATTTTAAAGAATATCAAGTAAGATGGAGAACTGATAATTATTTTGACCTGGGGCTCATTACATTATAATTCAGCCTTACGTATAGGAATCATGACATTTGATAATAATCTTGTATTTTTCTCTAAGTAGCCATAGGTCTTGTCTCTAAATATTATTTCCTTTATGAGGAAAACATCATCAGGAGAGTTTGACTATCAGTCTATGAAATTAAATCAGCTCTTGTTAGAAAATATAACTGAAGTTGATAAATTTCTTATACCAAACTAACCATTATTTATGAAGGACCAAAACCAGTCAGAATGGCACATGACATTTGTACTTAAATCAGGGTCTGATGAGATGATTCAGTAGGTAAAAGCACTGGCCATGAAGCCAGACGACTTGAATTTGATGTCTGGAATATACACAGTAGAAGGTGAGAACCAACTCTTGAAATGTTGTCCTGGGACCTCTGCACATATACAAGGTATATGTACATAAATACTAACTAACACACTACACACACACACACACACACACAAGTAAACAAATAAATAAATGGAGTAAAAATAAAAGAAGACCTCCCTGAGCCTTAGAGAGGCTTGTTTATAACTGAGCACTAAACCATCGTTTATTCTAAGCATCTTAAGTAGCCATGTCTATCCAACCACTGCTCTCACTGCAAAGAGAAGCTTTTCTGATTAAGACTAAGAGTAGCATTTATCTACTGCAGTCTGGGGCCATGTCAATTTATCTAAACCTCAGAAGTTTGGTTCACCTAAGGTTTAAGACCTTTGTTGTAGTTAGGGCTTTATTGGTGCGATGAAACACCATGATCACAACTCTTATAAAAGAAAACATTTAATTGGGCTGGCTTAAAATTATCCATTATAATTGTAATGGGTATAGTGCATTTTCATCATGGGGGAAGCGTGTCAGCATGCAGGCAGACATGGTGCTGGAGAGGTAGCTGAGAGTTCTACATCTGGATCTGCAGGCAGCAGGAAGAGACCCACTGGGCCTAGGCTTCTGAGATTTTAAGACCTAAAAAGCCCATCCCCTAGTGACACACTTCCTCCAAAAAAGCCACACCTACTCCAACAAGGCCACATCTACTAGTGCCCCTCCCTGTAAACCTACAGGGGCCGTTTTTATTCCAACTACCACACATTCTACTCCCTGGTCTCCATAGGCTTGTAGCCATATCATAATGCAAAATGTGTTTAGTTCAATTTCAAAGTTCCTTAGTCTATCACAGTATCAACACTGTTTGAAAGTTCAAAGTTCAAATTATCTTCTGAGACTCATATAATCTCTTAACTATAATTCCCTATAAAGTCAAAATGAAATAGCAGACTACATACTTCCCATATACAAAGGCACAGACAGACATGACTATTCTAAAACGGAGAAAAGGGAACATAGTGAGGAAATACTGGACCAAAGCAAGACAGGAAACAAGATGGACAAACTCCAAACTCTGCATCTCTATGTCTGATGTCAACGTAGTCTTCAGATCTCCAACTTCTTTCATCTTTGTTGACAGCAACACATTTCTTTCTTTTAGATTGTTTCCACTCCCTGCTAGCAGCCTTCCTGGTCAGGTATTCCAAAACTCTGGTGTCTTCTCCACTTTGGGGTCTCTAAGTCAATCCAGGCTTTACAGCTTCATGAAGTTGCGTCTCTAGAATCACCGTTCCCGTTTGTTCCATTTACGTTCTCCCATCCACACAGGGACACTCCTGACACATGCCTGGACTCAGCAGCGTTCCTTAGTCACGAGAGAAATTCCATTAGTCTTTTTCTTCTATCTTGATTCTAAAGTCCAAAGAGGCCAAGTTTCACTGCTTGCTGGGGCTGGAACTTGGCCCATGGCTAAGGTGAAAAATATTTTCATAATAGTTATTATAAAATTCAAACTTACTCTGTATCCTGTCATCAACATTGAATATATGTCTTTATTTGCCATAGAATAGAATCAGGTTTTTAAATTTATTGATATGCTGATCTGAGCAGTTTCAAAGAATGTTACCAGGGTACAGTATATACATAAACTCAATTTATTACAGTGAGTTTTTGTAAAAAAAAACAAAAACAAAAAACAAAAAAAAACCCCTATGCTTTCAGTTAAACTATACTTTTGCATTGTGGTCTCTTAAGAAGTTAGATGTGGGGGCTATATTAACTAATATTTTCATTAATCTAGCTCAAATTAATTCAATCAGACTTTTTAAAAATTAGAAACATCATTAAAATACACAACTTGTGGTTTTACTTACATTTACTTACATTACTAACATATTAACTTCGGAGAATCTCATCTGGAGAATCTCAGTTCACTTCCTGTAGCTTATAGTAAACTCTGTCTTGATTGAATGACTAAGTATACAGGGATGCATCTGTCCCTGAAACCAGAGAGGTTCCTTGATTTATACTGGCCTCGCTACCCATCTACTGTTCAGAGTTGTTGTTGTTATAGATTGTCTGAGTTATGATTTCTATTCCTGCACAAACATCATGACCAAGAAGCAAGTTAGGGAGGAAAGGGTTTATTCAGCTTACACTTTCACATTGCTGTTCATCACCAAAGGAAGTCAGTACTGGAACTCACACAGGGTAGGAAGCAGGAGCTGATGCAGAGGCATGGAAGGATGTTACTTACTGGTTTGCTTCCCCTGAATTTCTCAGCTTTCTTTCTTATAGAACCCAGGACTAGCAGTCCAAGGATGGCACCACCCACAATGGGTCCTCCCACCTTTGATCACTAATTGAGAAAATGTCTTACAGCTGGATCTCTTTGAGGCATTTCCTCAAGGAAGGCTCCTTTCTATGTGATAACTCCAGCTTGTGTCAAGTTGACACACAAAACCAGCCAGATGATTTTGTTCAAAGTCACTCAAGACAAAGAACTTAATTACCACGACAGAGATCTATCTGATATGGTAGGCTAACTCCAGGGGTGCTGAGTGGTGGGAGCATTTTTGAGAGGCAAGCCTGATATGAAGCAATTACATCATCAGGACAGTGTTCTGGGGCTTCAGTAATGTGGCTGACATGAGGCTAGATGAATTCCTGTGAGAACAAGTTCTTACAAAATGAGACAGCCTGACCCATGAATCTCTCAGGCTTTCTGTTTCACAACATGTTGATTTCTGCACGTTTCCACGTTGCAATGTTCTTTGTCATAAACCCTTCCCTAGAGCCAATCTGATGTTGGTGCCATGCTTCTGGAGCCTACAGGTATGGTCCAAACAAACTTCCTTTCTTTGTAAAGTACTGATGTTTTCATTCATAGCAACAAGTCAAAACAGATGGCAACTAGCAGCTGCATTTTTCATCTTAAAAACTTCATAATCTCAGTGGCAAGAGAGTTCTTTTCTAATATTTATATTAGACAACTGACACTGACAACTAACTGTTTGGCTCTGTTTGAATCTATCCCAACAATCATTGTTTTGGAGATGCTCCCAACTCCAGGCAACAAGACTGGGGCCATATCTTTTTTTCCTTGTTAACAGGAACAGAAACTGTGACCCAAAGGAGTGCATCATGTCTCCATCACAGCTAGCAAGCACTGTCATGTACAGCTCTTCTTAGTCCCCTTTTCTTGGTGGAGTTCATCAGTGTGCACAACTGTGTCTTCACATGACACCGTAGTTCTTTCTTTCTCTTCACCATTTCACCCTCAAACTTGAACCCTCTAGCTTTGTAACGAGAACCAAGTTACATGGCACACTGTAAACTAATCAAAAATAGTAGCGTGATGCCTGGATGAGGCATTCCGATTCAGTTGGTTTAAGGTGGAGCCTTCTCAGCTACGTGTTGTATATGTTCCATAGGTAATTGTAATATATAAGTAGGTTAAGATGGTTGTCTAAAGCTAAACTTGATGCTGTGAAGAAGC